GCCTACAAGCGCTGGGAAAGGACCTTGATGGCATCACTTGGATGACCTGGGGCAGAGAGGCATAACTGAGAATCCACAGCATAGTGATGATACTTAACGCCATGCCAATGGATGAACTCACCCAGCGGTTTCATGCCAACGTCAAATAGAGCGGGGGGAGAGTTTTGCCTGCAGCACCCTGCAAAGCAGAGGCCTAGGGAAAGAGCTCTCTGCCTGACCAACTCCGAGAGGGAGGAGGGGAACCCCTGAAGAGCCACGCTCCTGCAGCCGGTCCGGAAGGATGCCATGATCAAAGCCGCCAAGGAGGACCAGGATGGATACGCTACCCTTACTCCAAGCCTGACAGAAGTCCTCTGTGAGCGCGGTCAGTATTGTCTCACTACTCTAACTCAGCCTGAAGCCCAACCACAAAGAGTCCAGACAATTTGTTTCCTCCAGGGCCCATTGGAGCTGTAAGCTGACCACCTTCGCTTCCCACATTTGCATCTATGACCCAGCTCTTTCTGGAAGCTGGTCCCCCTCTCTGAGGCTCCCTGTGTGTTTCCACCCAAAACCTGAGACCTGGAGAATATCTGGAGGGAGTTTGATCCTGTCGAGCCTGAGGAAGCGGGCAGGATAGATTCTTGTAGCTGTTAGTTCAGCCACCTCTGTACAGGTAGTCCTCAGGTTATGACCACGTGTTCAGCGACTGTTGAAAGTTACGACGGTGCTGAATGAGTGGGGCTTATGACTGGTCCTCGAAGTTCCAACCATCACAGCATCCTGTGGTCATGTGATGATTTCCGACATTCCCTGCCAGCTTCCCACAAGAAGCAAAGTCAGTGGGGAAGCCGGCAGGAAGTTGGAAGTTGCTCCTGCTCCCACCACTTTTTCACATGGCTGCACTCTGGAGCACCTGCCCACAGCACACACACACACCCCACCCATAGTTCTCATCTGCAGTTCTCGCCGCCAGCCTGCTTGCCCGGGACTCCCGTCTCTTCCTGCTAAAATGACCCATGCGGTCCTGGGGTTACGATGGCAACCGGGACTGCCGTTGCTAAGCGATGCACCCACGTGACATCATGCTTTATGATAGCATTGCTTAGTGATGGAAATTCTGGTCCCAATTACTGTTGTTAAGTGAGGACTACCTGTATTGGATCCATACCCTTCCTGGCTAGTCAAGGCTGCCCGAGAGGATGTGTGATTGGGTTCAAGCGGTGATTAATTCCTCCTTCGGGGAGGTGGTCCTGCTGGCTCTTAAGGAGGTGGCGGCTCGACCCAACTGTCTGGACTGTTTTCGTCCAGTCTCCAACCTTCCCTTTTTAGCACTGCAGCTTCAACGGCCTCTGGATGAAACAAATTATCTGGGCCTCTTTCAGTCCAGATTCAGGCTGGGTTACAGGACTGAGACGGCATTGACTGCACTCTTGGATGACCTCTGGTGTGAGCAGGATGGGGGCAGTGCATCCATCCTTGTTCTTCTTGACCTCTTGGTGGCTTTTGATACCACTGATCATGGTGTCCTTCTGGACCAGCTTCAGGAGTTAGGGGTGAGCAGCACCATGGTGTTTGAGTCTCCTCCTTCCTTTAGGGCCGGTTCCAGTCGGTGTTGATAGGAAGGGAGAGGTCCAGCCCGTGGCCCCTACTCTGTGGGGCGTGCAGGCTCTCTCCCCTCGTTTAACATCAACGTGAGGCTGCTGGGTGAGGGGTGAGGTATCACCAGGATGCTGACGATACCCGGCTTTGCATCTCCACCCAGGCCGCCTGCGTGATGCTGTGGATGTCCTGCCCCACTGCCTGGAGGCTGTGGGGCCTGGATGGGGCGCAGCAGGCTTTGGCTCAACCCGAGCAAGACTGAGTGGCTTTGGGTGTTTGGGCCTCCCATCCTTGGTTCGGGCCGGGGTGGCGCTGCCTCAGACCCCGTGCGCAATAGGGGGGTCCCCCTGGACTCACAGCTCCTGCTGGAAGAGCGGGGGGCAGCTGCGGCTAGGAGGGCCTTTGCGCACCTTCGGATTCTGCGCCAGCTGTGCCTGTTCCTGGATGGGAGGCCCTGCTCACGGTCACTCAGGCCCTCGTGACCTCCTGCTTGGACGACTGGAATGTGCTCTACCTGGGGCTGCCCTTGAAGAGCATTTGGAAACTTCAGCTGGTGCAGGATGTGGCTGCACGGGTAGTAAACGGTGCTGATTATTTGGCACGTGTGACACCACTACTCTGTGAGGGGCACTGATTGCCAGTGTGCTTCTGCGTGCAATTCAGGGTGCTGGTTGTCACTTTCGAAGCCCTTCGTGTCATGGGGCTGGATATTCGGGGGACTGCCTTCCCTAGTCATGTCTACCCGTGCCACTAGATCCAGCAGGAGAGGCATACTCGGGTTCTGTCTAGTAGGGGGTGTCATCTGGCGGGGCCCTAGAGGAGAGCCCGCCCTTTGGAACATCACCCCCTGGAGATCAGATTGGCCCCTGAAGACCTGGCTCTGTGCCCGGGCCTGGGGCCCTGAGTGTGTGGAGGGTCCTGCCTCTTGTTGACTGTGAGATCTTCCTCAGCTGCTGCGCGTTTTAACTGTTGCATTTGTGATGGGAATTGCTTTAATTTAACATTGTTCACCGCCCAGTCACTTGTTGAGATGGGAGGCCATACCAATTGAATAAATGAATACTAAATAAATAAAGGTGGCATCACATCTATGGGTGCTGACAGGTCCCTTTGAGAGAAGCTGCAAATGCCATGAACTGAATGGAGGGTGTTCACAAAGTTTACGGAGGGAGCCCAGCCCAGAGGGAGAACAGTGGCTTGGCACGCAGAGGAGAGGAGAGGATCCTGCGCTCTTCAAACATGCCCAGGCAGGAGAATGGGGAAGGGGCGTGTCTGTCTTTTTCTGCCCCAGACCGTGCACCATCCCTTTGCAGTCACGAAAGAAAAGATTCAGGCAAACAGACCTGGTAAAAACACTGCCCATCCTCTGAAATGGCTTGAAAGGGTTTTCTCCCTGTCCCCACCCCTGGCACACTTCACTGCTGAGTTGGGAAAGTAATTTTTTCTCTCTTTTCCCCCTCTTTTGCTTGTTTGCCATCACGCCCTTTGCTGCTTGGAGTTCAGCACTTCTGCCTGTTGCTCAAACAATGGAAGAGCTCCCAAGTGGGTCTCGAGCGCGAAATGGCACCGGAGCTGCCACTAGAGACGGCCACGCCTGACTCCCTGGCAACGCAGGAGTCCCTGTCCCATTTCTCCAGTGGGGAAAGCGCAAATACGAGGCGGCCGTGGGATTGGAGCGCTGTAGAGCTCTGATGGAGAAATAATGGCTAGGGCTTTAATGGAGGAACAAGCCTGTTTTTGAAAGACATTGTCCTGCTGTAATGAAGTCGTTTGCCCACATGAGGGCAGCAGCCGTTTGAGAGTTTCCCCTCCTCTGCCTGCTCTCAGATGTGTTGGGACTTCAGTTCCCATAAGGCTCAGCCAACCTGACCAACAGCCAAGCTGGTTGGGGGTTATGGGAAGTCCAACACAGCTGGAGAAGGCAAGGAAGGGGAAACTGGCTTCCATATTGCAAGCGGTGCTGTGTTTGGTTCAGCCTTTGGGGAGGTTCTTAACTAAAAATGCACCATGCGATTGCAGGCCAAGCGGGGTGAGCGGGGGGCAGCAGTAGTGGGAGAACCGCTGGCTTGGAGGGCCCAGGCTTGCTGGGGCCAAGATGCCAAGGGCGGCTCAGAGACAGGAGCAGCAGCACGAGGCCAGCGGGGAGCTGCCCGGTTTGGGAAGGGGCACAGAGGCCACCCCCGGGGACCTGGCTGGCATTTCTGCAGGGAAGGAGCCTGCCCCGCCAAGCCTCTACTTAGTGACGGCTTTCACCCATCATGGGGGTTGCTGTAACCACAGCACATTGACCAAGCCACATTAAACCACGGCTTGCATAGCAGACGCTGGATTCACAGGAGAGAGACTCCCAGGTCATCCTGGAGAAAAGCTATCTATGTGGTCGCTAAATGTCAACACGAACTTGATGGCGCATAAAATCGAGCCCAGAATGCATGAGTTGGAATAGACCAACACAACGAGTTGGGTTTATCTGGTCTTTATTGTTACTTATATTATCTGCCGTCCCACTTCCAATGCAGTAAACACAATCCAGGGCAGAAACGGTACTTTTTGGTCTCTTTTCCTGAGATGGTAGCGAGTTTCAAAGGGGAAAAATGGAGCCTTTTCCCCAGCACAGGTTAGAGGAGGATTAACATCCCTTTCTCCAGAAAAGTGACAGCAGGAAGGGAACTGCTTCTCCACATTGCTCTGAAGTACAAGCAGCTTAAAATTTAACTTTCAGTTGTTTAACTCACAAGAGGCAACACCAAACAATGTGCATGTGTAAAAGCTGCATTAATTGGAACTGATAGTGGTGAATCCAGTGCCTCAAGTTTACTTCTTGCCCAATTTAAAACCTTTAAAATAACGTGGACATCTTAACTCACATTTTAAAAAGCAACGTTGGCTATACAAGGGTTTAAACTCTCTCTCCCCATAGCAACGAACTGAAGAGTCTAAACAATGCTGAAGTAGCTGTGGCACTCAATTCCAGAAAAATAGGCTGGGCAATGCGCTGCTGAGGATCTGCAGACACAGAACTGAATCTTTAATTCTAAAAGCCTGATGGTCCTCCAACTATCCCAGTTTGACCATTTTTACATCTTTCTTTTTTATTTTGGGGGTGGGAGTAGGTTACCAAGCCCACTAAGGCAAGCATTGACCAACCTTCTTTGTTCACCAGGCATGAAAAGCGGCTGAATGAACTGGAAATGAGAACCAGCGATTCTCTGGCTGGTGACTCGCCAGCTTCTAGCCAGTCAGAGGATCTCCGCACCATCCCAAATTCTGTGCATCTGCATGAAGCACCCGCCTTCCCGATCAGGACTTTTTTACGACCCTTTATGATTAGGCCAGGTTATAATCAGGGCAATAATTTACAGGGAATTTACATGCTCTCCCACCACCAAAATTGTTAGGTTTGAAAGCAGGGGTGGAAATTGCAGTGGTGTTAAATAGTTTATTGTAAAACTCCTGCACATTGTAAAACTCCTTTGTACAGTTTTGCTGGGCAATCTGTAAAACGACTTGTACGAATGTTTTCAGAGCTGCATTGGAGCAATTCCGGCAAGATTTCACTCAGATGATTCCAATCTGAAAGAGAAAGAAATGGAAACTCTGTTAACAACCTCACCAGCTGTCCTGGTGGATCAAAGGCATAAAGCCAGACTCCCCCCCCCATTCCAAAAACAGAACTTGCTCATCCCCAACAGAAACAAGCCCCGTAATGCACAAGCCTTACCTTGTTGGCTACATCGAGCGCATCATAATCCGGGGCGAGACGTACGTACGCCTTTTTCTCTCCATCGGGCCTGGAAGGAGGCAGGCAGTATTAGCTCCAGAAAATGAAACAGAAAGGATCCTTCCCGTTTGAAGGGCCTGGTTAAAGATCTGGAGGGCCACGATCACCAGAGGGCTTTAAAGAACATCACTATTCTTCTGCCCCATCTATCTAACACAAACATTTCCAAGAGATGCTCCCATTTTCCACACGCACAGACTGAGTAAAAGCACCAATTGATGTGCCAAACAGCTTACACTTCATGTAAAGTGGAACACATCCAATTATATGAAGTGGCAAGTTTAGTTTAGAAGTGTTTTGACCTTGCCAGAATTGTCCCAACCTTCAAACAGGCTGTTCTGACCTCTGTTCTGCACTCAGAATGGCTGGTTTTCAGGATGGATCCCTTCCAATAAAGTTGGAACAAAAAGCTTTAAGTTGGGACATTTAAGCCTTCAAAGATGTTCTAATTACACACTCCCTCTGCCCTCTCTAAGAGATTCTTCATGCATCAGTGGTTCCTTTGAAAACATCACTCAGCTCAGTCGAAAAGTTTCCATCATCTGCACGAAGAAACCCCGGGACCTGCCCCTGTTGTGCTGTTGCGATCGCAGCTGCCAGCTACCTGATCAAGGTGTTGACCTTCGCCACGTCAATATCATACAGCTTCTTCACAGCCTGTTTGATCTGGTGCTTGTTGGCTTTCACATCCACAATGAAGACTAGGGTGTTGTTATCCTCAATTTTCTTCATGGCTGACTCAGTGGTCAGTGGGAACTTAATGATGGCATAATGGTCGAGCCTGGGAAGCAGAGCAGAAAGAAGGGCTCCATTAACCCACTGGGGGCAGGCCAGGGGGAGCCGTGAAATATACAAGGCCTTGCCCAGGATCAAGATGCATCAGCTCCTAATAGGCTACAATCACAACCACTCAGACTTTGGTCGCTAAAGCCTCATCACACGCAGTCTCGATCCGGGGAAAAGAGGCCTCGGCCACCCAGAGCAGAAACGACTAACGAGGTTAAGGAGAAAGCGATAAAACTCAAATTGCCATCAAGGCTGCAACATCCCAATCTGGGCATTGCATTTTGGGGAGGAGAAAGAAGGGCTCCATTAACCCACTGGGGGCAGCCCAGGGGGAGCCCTGAAATATACAAGGCCTTTCCCCTCTGACAAACTGTCCAGAGGAGAGCCCCCAGGATGATAAGGGGCCTGGAGGAACAGTTGGAGGCACTGGGCAGGTTTAACCTGGAGAAGACCGCGGGAAAACATGACAGCTCTGAGAACAGCTGGAGGGCTACCATGGAGAAGATGGGCAAGATGGCTGATTTTTGTCCTGCCTTTCAGAACAACAGATTTCTCTAAGGCCCCTTCCAACTAGCAATTCTTCAATTCTACGCAATCATAATTCTCCTTAAAGAAACACCAGTAAAGACTGGGATGGTTCAGTGTGACCAAATGGGGATGCCAGAAGTTGGAAAAATTCCCCAAAGACTACATCAAACCATTTGTGTGTGGTTGCTAAGAAAACTATATACGCATGCCCAGCTTGGTCCGAGGAAGCCTCTTTTTACACGAGAAGATAAAGTTCCTGCATCTCCCGTCCCAGTGAGATGTTATACAGTGTACAAGAATGTCTCTCCAGTAATGTCCCTACCTTGCCACACGGATTTCTTTATGAAGTATGGTAATTTTAAATTTCATTTTTATTTATCAATGAATGAAATTTAAAGGCCTTGCCAATCTGTTATGGCTCCAAGGGTCTTACAAAATACACAGTAAAATTAGAATAGAAACTCAAAAAGTCACCAAAAGTCCAGGGGAAAAAAAAAAGCAATTATTAGACATAAAAAAATAAAAAAAACCTAGATCACACAAGGAGCCCATCACCTGAGGATAAAGCCAGATTTAAATAGGGCCAGGGTGTGTCAAGGAGTTCAGAAGTGCCTCAAATTGAACCAAATACTCCCCTCCAACTACCCTTTGTCTGCTAGATACTGGGCCCACATGGTATCTAGAAACTTCTGAGAGAAGTCAAATATTTCGCTGTGAAGAGCTCCTGGTTGCCCCAAATAACTGTCACCCCCCTCACAGCTTGGAGACTTGGGAACCATAGCCGGACAATTGAGATAGGATGGGGAGCGGCACAGACAATGCTTACAGCCGCCCCTTGCAAAAAGCATGATTTTTTAAAATTGAGGTTTGTAGGCCAGGCCAATTTACTTGACTCTGGGGGGCTTATAAAATAAAACAGTATGCATAATCTAAAAATGGAAGTTTGGAAAAAACAAACTCAGTCTAATAAACTAAACTGTCACACGAGGGTTCCGTCACCCACTCTAGCCCGAGGCCTGGGGGAAGAGCCAGCTTCTGAAGACGCTCCCCAAGCCTAATAACTTTTAGTTAACGTCAGTTGCTTGGGAGCTATTTATTTTTATATACAGGAATAATATTGTTGCATTTTAATGTAATTTAATTAATATTTATTCTATTTTAATTAATATGTATCTTTTTTACTGTAAACTGCCAGAGTCGCTCTACAGTGAGATGGGCAGTGACAAATTTGAAATATAAGTAAATAAAGGCTTGTTTACGTAAGATCAGGTAGAAGCCGTATGGCTCTCAGGGGGACCAACATACTTGTTCCTCTTTGGTGCGCTCTTCCGGGGATACTTGGGCTGTCGCCGTAACCGCAAGGTCTTCGGTCTCCGGAAGGTAGGAGATGTCCGGATTTTCTTCTTCTTGTGACTGTGGACACCTTTCAACACTGCCTTTTTAGCTTTAAGTGCTTTAGATTTTGCCTCAGTCTTAGCTGGGACAGCTGCAAGAAGAAGCAGAGCAGAAGACAAGTTTAGCGCAGAAGACCTCAGTTTTTATCTTGCAATTTATCTGCTCCCCCCACAATTTGATGGAGAAGACCATAGCTTCTAATGATCTGAGCATGACAAAGAAAAGAATAGATTTGCAGTTTTTCCCCAGAATCTGACTGACTAGGACCCATCACCATGTGCCAGCCTAGCCAAAGATACATCGCCACAGACAAATACAAGGGGGTATAAATTAAGGTGGGTTTTAGGATGTAACACAGACTGCGGGGGGGGGGGGGGGGGGTGCGGTCAGAATAGGTACCAAACAGGCCGCCCTTGGATACATTAAGCTGGGAGCCCACATGCTCCCTGAAGTCACACATGGAAAAAAAAAAGACTCATCTGTATCTGGTGCCTTTAAACTACTTGCTCTGCCCATCACCTGTGACCCTTCCTGACAACAGTGAGTGACCATTCAGACAGGGCCCTTCCCAGCCCTACCTGGCGCATGAACCCAACTCATTCTGTCCACATAGCGCCTATGTTTCCACTGAGCTACAAGCCCTTCCTATAGGAGGCTAGAAAGATGCTGTTGCACTTGCCCAATGAGCCCCATACAGAAACAAGTTGGAACTTGCTAGAGATGTTTGTAAATGTGAAATGGAGGGACTGGACCCAGGTGAAAAGCACATGTTCAAGTCCTAAGCTATAGCTCCTCTCCAAAATCCATACCTCTCCATGCTGTATTGCAGTGTTCCCCATCCATGTACCTTCTAGATGTCTAGACCAGTGTTTCTCAACCTTGGGAACTTTAAGATGTGTGGACTTCAACTCCCAGAATTCCCCATGCTGGCTAGACTATAGCAACAGCAAAAGAGTTGCAGTCCAACATATCTAGAGGCATCACGATGGGAGGGGCAGTTCTACCATAACAACATTTAAGAGTTGGGTCTCCAATAAATGCAAGGGGGGAGAAAAAGGAAGGCACAGGCTGATTGCTGAGAAGATGAGGCACTCTCCCTGTGATCTGCCACCGATCACCTCTTACTTTGCTGTGGTTTTCTCACAAGGGGGAGTCCTGTTCCAATGCATCTAAGCAGAACAACCGGCAAAAGGAGGGAGGGAATCCAGCGGAAGTCAAGAAATGGCCAGGGAGCTCTTGGCTACCATGAACAAGTCGCCAGGACTACATTAAAAAATCTTGAAAGATCTTGTAACTATCAACTCAGAGTTCCTGTGATTCTGGATAAATCACTGAGGACAAGTATGGTGCCTAGAAAATGGAGAAGAGCAAAATGCTGTTCCTATTTTCAAAAAGGAGAAAACAAGAGATTGTACAGATTATTCAGCTTGACATTGTTACCAGGCAAAATTCTGGAGAGATGATTAAGCTGCTGCTGTGTTAAGATTCAAAAAAGAATGCTCATTAACAAAGTAAGAACTTTTGTTGATCGTGGGAATGCAGTGAACGTGGTATATCTTGACCTCAGCAAAGCATTCAACCATGAGATCCTACTAGAGAAGATGGGAAAATATAGGGTGGACTATGACACTGCTCGGTTAGACACACTGCATGGGAATACTCGCACAATAACTCTACATTAAGCTGGGCATTAGTGTCGAGGGATGTATCCAACGGCTCTATTCTAGGCCTTGACTTGTTCAACATATTTACAAATAATGTGGACGAAAGGCAGAAGACGCAATCATCAAATTTGCAAGACAGCACAGATTCAGAGATGAAAACACTGAACGCGCGAATACAGAATGTGGGGACCATACCAGGCAGCGGTGCATGCAAAAGGAGGATGCGGGTGTCCTGCTGGATCCCACGCCCGACACGGGCCGAAGGGTGGCCTAGAGGCAACCCCAGGCTACGGAACAGCCCAGGGTCAGCGTCAGGAGAAGCCTGCTCCCGCCCACCCCGCGACCCTCAGCGTGCACTTGAAAAGCGCCCGGTTCCGAGTCACGCGTGTTGGGAAGAACGCGAATAAGCCAGCGCACGTCAGAGGGGAGCCACCAAGGGGGCGGGAGGCCCGGGAAGGGAAGGGAAGGGAAAAGCGAGGGCAGCAGCGGGAAGAGCCGCTCCTCAGCCGCCTCGCCGCCCGGGGGCCGCAGAGGCGCGTGCTGAGCCAGGCGCCCCGGGGCCCTTCCCTCCAGGACCCCCACGAGGGCCATAGCCCGTCTCGGCGGGCCCCCGACGCCCGCCCCACCGGCCCCACCGACCGCGCACGCGAGAAGTCAGCAG